CTTACATGTAGTACTTTAATGTATAACAGAACATAAAATTATAGTACTGTACTCTATGGTACAATTAGCAAAAATACAGTGCTGTATAAACAAGATGTACTGTACCAAAAGAAGACATTGAGGCTCTATAAACAAGATGTGCAAAACTGTACTGAAAAATTAAAAGATGGGTCACAAGTCAGAGAGGTGGGTCATAAGTCAGAACAGTGCACCTTGGGGTAAGTGAACGGTCACTGAACAGTCATTCAATGAGGAAAATCTGTAGAGTTGGAGGTGCTGACTGAAGAGGAGAGCCGATCTATTTTCCCGGGAGCCAAGGAGACTCTGAGCAGCAGGAGTGGCAGGAGCCACACCATCCATGCATAGTCCTGCTTAGATCAGCAGCAGGGACCCCGTGCTGTGTGCCATGAGTGGCACTGTCAGGGCGCAGCCAACAGGACAGGGCTATACACACAGGGGCTCTGGGATTGGAGGGAGAAGCAAGGCTGTGCTTCAGTGCCATGGCCAAGTGTGAAGATGGCCCTTCTTGAATCCCTACTCCCTTTCTCCTCGATAGATTAGAGAGTCAGACAGTCTGTTTGACTAAGATTATAGATCCTGGATGGCACAGCCCCAGGAGACAGTTATATTATGTATCCTTGTTTTTTCTGCACATGCCCTGATCATGAGACAATCGCGTTCAGCCTAGGCCACGTGGGCCATGTGGCAATAGTTACCCCAACTCCCTACACTATAATAAAGAGTGCAGTGGATGCCGGGCAGCCATTAGCTCACCAGGCTATGGTTCCACCTCGTCCCAGCTATAAAGCTTAATCTTGGTATGTATCTTGTTATTCTTCAATTTTCATCATCTCCCACCACTCTCTCTGGTTTTGGACCTTATGCTTTGCGGGTCGTGGCACTCCAGAAAATTCAGATCACCAGAGTAGAAACGGAGGAGAAAAAATAGGTAAAATAGCTGGGAGCATGATGCTAACCCTCCAGATTAATTTCTGCTTCCCACTTAAGTAGGTCATGCTCCTGCCAACCAGGACACACTTGTGCTCTGTGAAGGCTGCTGTAACAAAACAGCTTATAAACAACGGAAATTTCTCACACCCTAGAGGCCGGGAAGTACAAGACCAAGATGCTGGCAGCTTCAGTGGCTGGTGAGGGCCTCTTCTTCATAGAAAGAGCCTGCTCTGCATCCTCACCTAGTGGACAGGGCTGGCTAGCACCCTGGGGTCTCTTTGATGAGGGCACTAATCACTTCTAAAAGGCCCCACCTCTTGATTCCATCATATTGGGGATTAGGTTTTAACGTATTAATTTTGAAGGGACACAAACATTCAATTTATAGCACTGTGCACTCCCATAAATTTGCCTCAGCCAACCTGGAGAACCCTATGTCCTCAACTAGATTCAGACTGCTAGGGAAACAGTGACTTTTGCAGCTTCTGAGGAAGCCACATCTAGTGATCCAGTTAAAGGGCCCCATACCACTTCCACTGAGCTCCATCCTCAGGCTGGCCTCAAACTTGTGCTCCGCCTTCTTCAATCTTCAGAGTAGCCAGGATTATAGGCCGGCACCACTGCCCCTGGCTCATTTTTTAACTTTTTGTTTTGAGATAATTATAGGCTGACATGAGTTGCAAAGATCACACAGAGAGGTCCTGTGTGTCCTTCACCCAGAAAGTGTATTTTGCAAAACCACGGTATAGTGAGACCAGGGTGCTGACACAGGCACCTGTCACTTTATCCTGTGTGTTAACATAGCCACAACCAAGGTGCAGTACTATTTCACCACTACAAAGAGCTCCTCAGGATACTCCCTTTCTGTTACATTCATGCACCTTCCACCCCAGCCCTCAGCCCCTGGCCACCACTAAACTTTCTTCTATTTCTGTAATTTTTCAATTGTCAGAATGTCACATAAATGGAACCATGTGGTAGACCTTTTAAAATCATTTTGAATCATCATGATACCCTTGTGAACATCCAAGTTGCTGTGTTATCAGTAGTCTGTTGCTCTTTATTGCTGAATAGAATTCCAAAGTTTGGACTGCCACAGTTTAACCATTCATCTATTTTAGGACATTTTGCTTGTTTCTGATTTTTGTCTACTACACGTAATACTGATATGAATACTTGTGCTCAGGTTTTTGAATGGACAGAAAAGTTCATTTATCTGGAGCTAACTCATATGCTGTGTGTGGTTCTAGATTAAACCAAGAGTTTTCAAGAGTTGATAAGTTGCCCAGGCTGTGCTTGAACATGAGATCTTCCTGCCTCAGCCTTCCAGAGTGCTGGGCTTACAGGCAAGTGCTATCACACCTAGCCATATTTAATTTTTAAAAAAGAAATTGCTAAATTGCTTTCCAGAATGGCTAAGCCATTTCATGCCCACCGGCAATATATGAGAGATAATTTCTTTGTACCCTCACTAGCATTGGGATGTTACTGTTTTTTAGATACTCTGGTGGTGTAATTGCATTGTCTTGATTTGCATTTCACTAATGGCTAATTCACTCGTTCCATGTTATTCACCACCCATGTTCCCACTGTGGTAAAATGTCTCTTCATGTCTTGTCAAGCTTCTATGTGGTTTATTGTTTTACTGTTGAGTTTTGAGAGTTCTTTACATATTCTAAATGAGTCCTTTGTCAAGTATGTGATTTTCTCTGTAGTTTTTCTTATTATCCTCTCAACACGGTCTTTCACAGAGCAAAAGTTTAACTTTTGATTTAATTTATTGATTTTTCTCCCTGATTGTGCCATTGGTGTTATGACTAAGAACCTCTAAGCCAAGGCCTAGGCTTTAGATTAAGTGTGGTTTACATGTATAAATTGTACTATACATGTAAAGGAATATTAGTTGGCTTTAAAAAAGGATATGCCATTTGTGATATGAAAAATTAGAGGACATATGCTAAGTGAAATAAACTGGACACAGAAAGAAAAATACTGTATCATTTTACTTATGTGTGGAACCTAAAAAATTGTCAAATATATAGAAATAGACTAAAACAGTGGTTAACAGAGATAGGGTGAGGCAGAAACAAGGAGTTGTACAGGTCAAGGGTACAAACTTGCAGCTAATGTAGAAGAGGAGAAATATAATAAATAAAAGTGTGTAGTGTATGAAATTTTGTAAAAATTATAAGTGCTCTTATCACAAAACAGAGAGGTAGCCATGGAAGGTGATAGATATGTTAATCTGCTTAAAGCACAAACCCCTTCATTATGTGTATATACATCAAATATCATATTGTACACTTTAAAAATACAATTAAAGAGAGCTCCGCAGTTTGTCTGTTGAGTTTAAATTTCAGCTCTACTGCTCAACAGCTCTGCCATGTTGGACCTGTGTACTTAAGCTTTGTTTGTGGCTCCATAAAATGGGGTAATAAAATTTAATATTTTTAGTTATTACAAGGAATAGCATATATCAAATACTTAAGAAAATGTGATTATTTTATACTCATGTTAATTTAGTTTTGAGACAGGGTCTCCCTGTGTAGTCCAGGATGTCCTGGACCTCATGCCCATCCTTCCTCAGCCTCCTGAGTACTGATTATAGGGATACACCATGTCGCTAGGCCAAATATAATTTTTGAAATGTCCTGGAAGTTGTCATCATACAGGGTAAGCGGCACAGACATGGAAATGGCTGTGGTGAAGGCATAGCTCTGGGTGTGTGTATAATGGGAAGGCTCACCGGGGGTATGGGCAGCACCACCTGAAGAGTGAGTAGCCTGGAAGGGATAAAGGGGAGTGGCTTTTCCTGCCACTGCTTTGCTACTTCCGTTGTGCTGCCTTCTACCAGCCCTGCCAGGCCACCCTGCCTTGGAGCCAGCTGACTATGGACTGAAGCCTCTACAAACTGAGATGAAATAAACCTTTCCTTCTTTAACTCTGGGTGTTGTATGTTTTGTCTCAGCAACAAGAAAATTCAAGAATTATTTTCTTTTCTTTTTTTTTTTATTGGGGACTGAACCTGGGAACTTGCGCTTGCAAGGCAGGTGGCAGAACCACTGAGCTAAATCCCTGGCCCTAGAACTGCTTTCAAGTCCTAGCAATACAAAACAAAAAAAAAACTGGTAGAGGCTAATACAAAAGCTTCTATATACAAATTTGTATGATACATCAGCTGATACTATGAACACTTTATTGGAAATAATCCTATCAAAGAGAACAGTACATTAATAGAAACACATAAAAGTATGTTCTAGGAAAACAGTAACAGATTCTTTACTACCAATATGAAGTAGTAGCTAATAATTATCAACTTCTCAAATGAGAATATTATGTACTTTTTTTTCCTTTTGGTGCCAGGGATCAAACTCAGGACCTCGGGCTTGCCAGACAGGTGCTGTGCCACTGAGCTACATCCCCAGCCATAATCTACTCTCAACAGAAGAAATAATTATCCTGTCTATAGAAATCATAGGCAACTTGACCAGGAAATACCTAATGGACAGGAACTATATATAACTCTAATTTGGCCAGTTAATTTACATAAGTGAAACAAAAGAATTACTTTTCTTCATTAGTATACTCAAACTTTTATCTTCTAAGATTTATGAAAATTTGAATTCAACTTAAATTTTATTTATGCTTTTTAGTGTATAAAGGATAAAGGATTGCTTATGCCATAGCCTCTTGATAGAGCCAAGTCACTATATTAGAATCATTCTGTTGAGAGTGTGCATACCTGTAATCCCAGCACTCAGGAGGCTCAGGCAGGAGGATTGCTGTGAGTTTGAGGCCAGCCTGAACTACAATGGTAAGACCTCGTCTCAAACAAATAAACAAATCAACAACAACAAAAAAACATGCACACTCCTTTATGAATTCTGAAAGGACAAAAGAAATGTAAGACCTATGATGATATAAGAACACATACTGGGAAAGAAAAACTGTCAATAAATTGCAAAAGTTAAAAATGTGGAAAAATCTAACTAGAAAGCAAAAAAAAAATTCTGGTTTTGATTTTTTCTTCTTGTCCATTTTATCTGGTTTGGTTTGGTTTTCTTTGTGGTGCTAGGGATTGGTTTTTGGTCCATTTTAAATAAGAGCTAATTTATTCTTTTTCCAAATGGTCATTTATTATTTGCAGAGATACATAAAAATGATTCCCATTTTTAGAAACATACTAAAAATATACATTAACCACAAAAGTACTTATTCTGACTGGAAGGAAAGTGAGCATGTCACAAAATAGCAATAAACACAAGAGGCCAACATACGTAAATCATGACAAGTGTACATCTCATTTTTGACAAAAATATGTTCTTTTTTTACATTAATGCTTTATTACCAGCTTCAATATTAGATCCTCCAACCTTATGTACATTTACTATGAAATTTCTAATAGCATGTACAACTCAAAGGCACTCCATTCAGAGGTTATAAAGTCCTGAGCTTAAGTAGGAAATGGGATTTCCAATTAAAACTTGAACATAAATAATTGTAAAGATCAGAGAACATGAAAATATTCAAAAGTGTAATATCTGGTACATAAATAATTCAAAACCTAATAATAAAGGTATACAGACTGTCAAAGACAAGACCATGTAAGGCAAAGGAATGTCTTCAAATTAAACTAATTTTTACCTCGGCTGAGTTCATTTGAAGGTCTAAAGCTGATTTTTGTTGTAGTTTTTAGAAGCCTAAGAGAGCTAAATTTGAAAATAAACATGAAAATGCATCGGTTAAAAAATAAAAGTTCCTCAGCTTAGTCTTCAAAAACCATGACAAAAGTTTTTAATGATTAAAAACAAGTATAGACTGGAAAAATATTGGACTAAATGGAAGAATAAAAATGAGCAGTTGAAAAGATTACAAGATAGCTTTAAAGGCACCAATTGAAAGAACATTTATAGTTGGCTGTTCAAATAATTCCTTTAGCATTCTTTTACCAAATTAAAAATAAATTTACAGATAAACGAAATTCACTAACATTAGGCAGGATCAAAACTTTAGCTAATGTATTCTGTTGCAAAGAATGTGTAATAATTTACCCATAGCAATTTTCTTCTAATCCTAAATTAAAAGCATGAGATGACAACTTGCACGGTTTGACAGATATTTTCTTGGCTTTAAAATGTTTTTGAATATATGCATAGAAATGTAATGAGGATTAGAAACATCTTCTGTATTGTCTGTACAGTTCATAAGGCCTATGTCATTGTTAGTCACCTTAGACATGAATATCAGTAGGGCCGTAAAAACAAGCCTGAAAAGTTTTCAAAGTGTTGCTGTTTCCAACAGGAGATCCTCAGTTCTCTGGATTTTCTGGGTGATGATTATTTTCAGTTCTTTTTTCTGGTGATATATACAAGAAGTTACAGCAGATATACAAAGGGAAAATCAGAAGCCTGCTGTCCAAATTCATCACCACTTGTTCCTGTAAGACATATTTTGTAAATTTACTGACAACTAAATAGCAATATTTTAAAAATAAAATTAAAATAAAAAACCAAGGTGTTGAATGGAGTGAACCAAAAGAGGTAGTGTGACATTAAGAGCTTACACCCTAAGTCTGAGCACAACAGCTCAAATCTCAAAACTCCTGCCCATTGTAACCTTGTCAACTGCAGCTTCCTTCCTTACTTTATTAACAGATGCAGTGAATAGGTACACTGACCCTTGCACTTGGCTTCAGGCCCTTGGGTACAGCAAATTATTGAGATGACAGTAGGGAGTCATTATCAGCATTTAGCAGGGTTATTACTATTAAGCCCATCTAAGATTTCCCTCTGTCCTATGACAAACATGTTATTTGTCCCCTGGAACATAAAATACATTATCCTGTAAAAGTAATCTCAGGTTCAGTTACATTAATACATGTGAGAATGCTCTGAGCTATCACAAAGACAGATGTCACTGCTATACCTAAGAGTCGCAAATATAACCACCACTGATGCTACAGATTGCTGTTCGGAACCTCACATATCCTTTATTTTTTATTTTTTGAGAAACATCTTTTATTCTATAGAGGTGAAAATAAGTAAGTCTTTTTATATTTTTCACTTGTAAGATTTTTACTCTTAAAAATGCAATCTCTTCTTTTCAAAGCCCATGCCATCTTTTTAAAAAATCTTAGCAATATACATTTTCACTCAAAGAAAAACATGCAGCACTATTGTCTTCTGACAAAATTCTGCATTAAAACTCACTGGACTTTTGGAAAATATTCCCCCTTTACTTAGGGATTCCAACCACAAACATTCAGTGCAATTATTTACTGTTTTTATTTCCATAGGAAACACAGGACCAAATGACGTCTTCTGACTACAACTGTTTCCTGATGGTTGAGCAACAGACTCCTGCTTTACTTGAAAGTATTCTCCTTAATTTGTTGAAGTAAGGTACAATTAGAATTCAGGAAAACTTCAGGATGCAAGAAGAGGATGGAGGAGAAATGCTTAAAAGGATTACCCTGTGCCATAAACTTAGGAGAAAATTTGACACTGGAACAAAAACCCAAACTTTTACCTCAGATTTTATCAACACACCCTTTAAAAAGGTTTTTAGATTTCTGAAAGCAGATTAATGTGAATTAAAAACAGCTCCTGAGTAACTGCAGTAAACAGTCTTTAAATACATATATATGTAAAAAGACACATGTACACACATATACCTATATATTTGCAACTCAGCTCATTTTGGTTCTGCCTTAATTTACCATCCCAGTGTTCAGCTGAAGCACAGTCCCTTCCTTCCCTTCAGTTTCCAATTCTCACATATCCTTTAAGAAGTAACTGAAGATAACAATCATCACAGTTAAAGAAGCAACAGTAAAATAATCATTCCTACTTTTTAAATAGTTGGGATACAGTCTATGCAGTAATATCACGTTTTATTTTATTTTATACATTTTGGAGAATATACCCTTAAATACTAGAGTTTTATTTTAAAATTAATTTTATTGGTATATTTTAGGTATACAATATAGTGCCATTCATCACTGGATATTTGTACCTTTATACAATATATCTGGTATCTTATTTTTCCCCATTCCCCTGCCCTGTCAACTCCTCCACCCCTCCCTATTCACAAAAACTATTTTCATTTTTTCCTTTTCTCATATTTATTCCATTCCCTTCTTTCCTTTGCCGTACCCCTCCCACTTCTCCTTCCCCTTTGCAACTTTTCTTCCTATTTCATATTCCTCACACCAGAGAAACTATTTGATATTTACACATGCATGTCCTATTTATTTCACTTAAGAGTATCACCTCAATGTGCATCCATTTAGCTAATTTTTTAATGAAGCACATGTTCCCATAATGAAGAAAGGCTAAAACTAGAATATGTGAGTGACTAAAGTGGGCTTAACTGGACACAGCTTCTGTGTTGGAGGAGACACATTCAGATAAATTTTAATACACACACACACACACACACACACACACACACACGCAGAGGGTCTTTCCATATCCCCCATAGAGGGAAAGTGGTATTTAAAAAACAAAATCAGTGAACAAAATCAGGTGATGTTCTCTTCTAAGCTGATGGTGCTGATAGGGTCACCAGAAAGGAATGAGGAATGATGTCAAAGCACAGCTGGGTCTTTAGATGTCTGAATCACCCTAGCCTAGTCATTATTTGTATTAGTTCCGGGTGAAGGCATATTTACTGTATCTCATGAGGACAAACACTTTGGCAATATGTATCCCTGATGATAAAAATTAAGATTCTATATCAGTGATGGCAAACCACTCAGAGCTCTCGATGATAACAAACAGTCTGATGCGGCACACGTGCCTTGGCTTCACCACCATTGTTCTACACCATGACAAAACGAAAGCTCTTAAGGAAGATCAGCAGTCTGGGAGTGAAGTATAGCTAAGGTTGGGATGGGGTGGGCAAGGCAAAGGGCTAACTCTTGGCTCGAAGGAAGTCAGTGTGGATATCATGGGCTGAACAGACACACCAATTTCTGAATGTCAAGTTGCACGAAACCCCTACTTTCCATTCCTAAACAAGACAGATCTGCATCTGGCTGATAAAATCTTTAACTCTACCTAAGGGCTCAATGTACACCTGCATTTGTTTTGACGCACCTTCTCACTACACTGTGGAAGTGCAAGTTGTGGAACGCGTGTATCGTAGCTGCAGAGTAGCATCTTTCTGTGTTCCATTTCTATTTCCACATAATTATTTCATGTTTTTGTATAAATCCCTTCTCCTCTGAGGTCCATGCTACTTATATCTGTATGGCTTCCCCCAAATCCTATCTTATAGGTCTAATTTCTGGGATCCATAACTCCAACTTGTTCCTGGAAACCTTCATTTAGATATAGAACTAAAATTCAGACCCTCAACTACTGGCTGCTATCTCTCTCTTCCTCAGTGAGACCGTCTCAAAAAAAAAAAAAAATTTTTTTTAAAGGCCTGGGGATATAGCTCAATGTAAAGGCCTGGGGTTCAATCCCCAGTCCTACAATAAATTAACAGTAAAAGGTGCATTGTTGCCTTTCTAAGAAAGAAGTCAATGAAACAGTACTGAAATGTTTAAAAGGATTTACATATGATAAGGCATCTCAAATACACTGATACACCTAGTGTAATTCAGAACTATTATCAAATACTCTAATATAAAAAATTAAACCATAAAAGGAGTAGAAAAAAATACAGATGACTATTTATACAGTCCTGTGAGATTAAGGAAGCCTAAGGATCCACCAGGCAAAGAAATCATTAAAGTAAAAGATTAATAGACCATTTTGAAGACCCAAAAGACAAATGTCAATGAGAAACTGTAACATATTACAAATGTTATTTTTTATAAAAGCCATTAAAAATTAGCAAGAAAAAAAATGAATACTTTAATAAAAAAATCAGACCATACAGTCAATTTACACAAGACATGTCAAACAATATCCAACTTTACCAGTAACCAAAGAAATGAAAATGAAAATTAATATTTGTTTACATTTACTATATCAGGGAAAAGATTAGGAAGAATGATAATACATTATATTGGGTATACTCTCCTATGTTGTTAAGGGGAGTGTGAATGGTATTTTTGGAGTGTAACTTGACTATTAGAAAATGTATGCGATATTTGAAATTAATTCCAATTTTTGGAATTTATCTTTAAAAATATATAAACTTGGCTGGGGATTTAGCTCAGTGGCTCCACCACCTGTCTTGCAAGCACAAGATCCCAGGTTCAATCCCCAGTACCAAAAAAAGTATAAACTATATGTATATTTCTCATAATAAAATTAATCATCTTTATGCAATGCATAGGAATCATGGAATAGTTAAAACAACCAAAATTATGCAGTTCATAAAAATGATGATGTAAATAAACATATATTATTTTTTAAAGCAATGTATAACAAATTGAAAAGAAAAAATATTACAATTGCTACCATGTCACATGACACAGCCAGGTTCTCCTGACCTTGGTCTCCAAAAGGTGCACATGCTTTCTTCTACTTGGCTCAGGGCAGGTGATCCTGTTTTAGCTCTCCCCAAGACTTAACTACTACGCCATCACCAAGAACCCTGAGACCAATGAGTCAGCCACGCAGAAGTCAGAAAACAACAGAGCTGTGCTCACTGTGGATGTCAAGGTTGACCAACACCAGATCAGACAGGTTGTGAAGCAGCTCTGTGACTCTGATGTGGCCAAGGTCAACACCCCATTCAGGCCTGATGGGAGAAGACATGTGTCTGGCTCCTGAATATGCTGCTTTGGATATTTCCAACAAAACGGATCAGCTAAATTGAGTCTAACTGGTTAATTCTAAATATAATTTTTTCACTATAAAAAATAAGCAAGTTACAAAATAATTAGTACAAAGTCCTAATTTTGGAAATAGAAGAAAAATAACAGAAAGGTGTATCTGATATATGTGTTTTTTGTTTCAGCTTACATTTTCTAATTTTCCCACAACAAACATTTATAAGCTATATAAAACACATTTATACAACTTCCTAACTAAAATGATTCCAAACCCTATCGATAGTCCATCATGTCCTAGCTCTATCTGTACCCAACTCCTCCAACTGGCTTTCAGTTCTGTGAGTGACTCATGTTCTCCTTTCCTCCATCTCAGCCATTTGAAGCTGGCTCAGGTATCCATTCCCTTTTCACCTTTTCCAGGAAACCTCCTGAGCTGACTTCATTTCTCTTCAGTAACTACAACCAACCTCAACTTCAAAGTCTGGGTTACACACTTTTCCCTCAATGTTGCACATCAGAGCTCATTCTCAACTTACTTACACTAGGTTACAGTGATACAAACTGTGCTTATTTCCAATACTCCTTGCATAGAACCAAGTGCACAGTAGAGATAAATGTGTGCAGAATGAAAAAAAAATCAAGCAACTTCTTTTTTCATACTGGGAATCGAACTCAGGACCTTCAGCTTGCATGGCAGGCAGCAGCACCACTGAGCTAAATCCCCGGGCCCATATGCATATGATGCATGAAGAAACAAATGACTTTAGAAATAACTTGGAGAACATTACAGATGTTTGTCACCTTACAAATCTAATATGTTAGAGAAAAATGTTTTCATAATATTCAGGAACTATGGAGACATATTGCCTTCAAGATGTCTGCTTACAAATAAATGTACTTATGTATACAATGAATCAGCACTTAAAGTAATGACTTTTTTTTTTGGTACCGGAGGTTGAACTCAGAACCTTGTGCTTGTAAGACAGGTACAGTGTCACAGAGCTAAATTCCTGGCCCTGTAATAACTTTTTGAAAATTATGTTCAAGATAAATATTTACGTTCTCTCAAATCAAACTTTTTTTCTTTCCCATCTCTGTAATGCCACTGTGTGTAGAGTATCATTCATCTGAAATGCTTGAGATATATATTTATGTTTATTTATATAAGAGGTATCTTGGATGAAACTTAAGTCTGCCCCACCCCACCCCCCGCTGTGCCAGGGATCAAACTCAGGACCTTGTGCTTGCCAGGAAGGTGCAGCATGAGCTATACCCCTGGGCCTGAAACCTAAGTCTTAACACAAAATTTGTTTATACATATATACCCAAGGTAATTTTTACACAGTTTAAAAGATAATTTTGTGCATGAAACAACTGTGTGGGCTTTTTGTTTGAGGCACTCAAAAAGTCTCATATTTCGAAGCATTTCAGATTTCAGATTTTTGGATTAAGGATGCTAGATCTGCAGTGGATCAGGTAAGTTTTGCTGAAGTGAACATGGGACTTTCAAATCAATCTTTAAATCAAAGTATCATCATTTAAATGTCAAGTCACTTAAGAAGTTTAAGAGTATTCAAAACACAAATATAATGAAACAATAGAAAAATAATCAAACATACCTGATCCTTTTCAAGTGTAAGTATTTGATAGCCGGTTGTTCTACTACATATTAGTTTTCCACTACTATCAAAAGAAGCCAAACGAAGTCTAGGATTTAAAAAAAAAAAGCATGATTTTTAAGCCACAGATTCAACAAGATCTATCTCACTTTAGTATTTTCTCATCCATATTTTCTTTTCAGATTTTTCAAACTGTAAATTGATTCCATTAAGATTTACAAACTTGTGCTGATACACAACTGAAATATCAAAAAAATTTATAAATGACTTTGAAAAACTATGCTAAAATACACAGCAAGTTTACATTTTAATCATTTTTATGTACAATTCAAAGCATCACATATATTCACTAGAGGTTGGGGATTTAGCTCAGTGGCGCTGCACCTGCCTTCTAAATGTAAGGTCCCGAGTTTGATCCCCAGTACCAGAAAAAAAAAAAATCACAAATTCTGCAATCACCATTACCGAACTCTAGAGTATTTTCATCTTCCCAAGCTGAAATTCTGTTTTCACTACACACTAATTCTCCATCTTCCCTTTCCCCAGCCCTAGCAACCCCAATTTGCTTTCTGTGGATTCGTCCACTCTATGTATCTCATAGGAGTGAAATCATACAACATTTGTCCTTTTGTGACATGCTTATCTCACTTAAGTTCATTCAAGTGCAGCATGTGTTGGGAGTTTCCTTCTTAAGACTGAAAATGTTCCATTGTATGTGTTACCACAATTTATCTGTTAATGATCATTGTTTCTGCCCGTTGGCTACTATGAATGATGCTCCAATGAAAAAGTGTACAAATATCTCAAGTCCCTACTTTCAATTCTTTTGGGTATATACCCAGGAGAGAAACTGGCGGATCATGTTAATGCTATGTTTAATTTTGGGGGAAAGCATCATGTTTTCTACAGCAGTTGTACCACTGTACATGGTTACCAGCAGAGCACAAAGGGTTCTAATTATTCCACATCTTTGCCAATGCTTGCTTTGTTTTGAACAACAGCCATTTTAATAGGTGTGAAGTGGTATTGCACTGTGGTTTTGATTTGCATTTCCTAATGGTTAGTGTTACTGTGTATCTTTTTATGTAGCCATTTATATATCTTCTTGGGGAAATTTTACACAAGTCCCTTTGCTGTTTTTATTTTTGGTAGTGCTGAGGACTGAACACAGGGCCTTGTGTAGGCTAAGGCAAGTGCTCTACTATTGCCTTTGCTCATTTTAAAATCCATTTTTAATTCTTGTTTGTTTTTTTCCTCCCTTTTTTTGGAGACAAATCTTGCTATGTTGTTCAGGCTAGTTGCAAACTGGTAGGCTCTCAGCCTCTCAAACAGCTAAAACTACAGATGCCTGTTTTTTTGTTTTTTTTTTTTGGTTTTTTGAGACAGGGTCTTACTATGTAGTTGAGACTGACCTGGAACTCACTATGTAGCCCAGGCTGGTCTTGAACTCATAGCGATCCTCCTGTCTCAGCCTCCGGAGTGCTGGGATTACAGGTGTGCACTACCATGCCGGGCCAGATGCCTGTTTTTTAAATTTAAAATTTTATGTTTTTGGGCTAGGGATTTAGCTTAGTGACACCTTGCCTGCCTCGCAAACACAAGTCCTGAATTTGATCCTGGTGCCTCAAAGCAAAACAAAGAAACAAAAAAAATAGGTTAAGTTGTCTATTACATACATGGTTTGTAAATATTTTCTCTCATCCCAGGGTTGCCTTTCCAGTGCTGGCAGTGTTGCCCAATAAAAATTTTTTTGATAAAAAATTTCCTAGTTTATGAGGTCCAATTTATCTATTTTTCTTTTGTTGCCTGTGTTTTTGGTGTCATACCAAAGAAATGATAGCCAAATCAAATGTTATGAAGTCTTTATATTTTCTTCCAGGAGTTTTATAGTTTTTGCCCTCATATCACATTATGTTCCATAAATTTTGAGTTAATTTTTAATATATTTAAAAAATAACTTACCATATTTCTAGTTAGGACACTTTATTTGGTAGAAATAGCAACAAGGCAACAGCTTCGAGCCTAGTATCAATCCTTTATCATTCATATGTGAGCTTATCCATTTCCCTGACATACCTAGACCTCTTGAATTTATTAATAATACCATACATTTCACAAAAATGAAGGCTTATCAGTTCCTAACTCATTCACAAATTTTTATCTTACCAAAGTTCTATTAGTGATGTAAATTATCAAATTTTATCTCTTATATTTCCTTTGGAGTGAGACGGAGTTGCTAGGGAAATCTCATCCTACCTAAATGCTATGCTCCTTCGAGGCTGTAAACTGACAGATCCACTACATGGCTGATTCAGCGTATTGCGTTTGAAAATGATGTACCGATTTGTATAAGTCACAAGTAGGTCAAAGCCGAAGTTAAAACCTGTCCACCGCCAGCAATACTAAAAGATACAAAAGAAAGATTCAGTTTAGTTTACCATGTTAGCAAGTGAAAAATAAAAAGCCGAAAATGTTTTTTCTCATTCCAAGCATTTTGCCCATAGATTCCTTACTTTTTGTCAGTGCTTCCCCTTAAGGATTCCCACACAAAACTAAGTATCTAAGCTGGCAAAGCAGCCTTTATGACCAGAATTCCTCAAGCTCTCCACACAGCAATTCTATCATAAATACGTTTTCACTATAATTCTAAGTATAGCTAGATGATGAAGGTAACAAGAATCCATTAAAACCCACCTTACTTTTAAAACACTCTGAAATATCTTTAATTAACCAATAGAAATATCACAACTAGGTTATTTTAAATACATCATGAGGTTCCAAATTTGTTTTTTTCTATCAGTGAATAGTTACTGACAAGAGTATTAGATAAAGAAGTATGGTACAGGGAAGTAAAATTAGGATTTCAAGGGTTTGTTTAACTTCATGAATTATACCATTAATTCAATATTTAACTAATATGTGTTGAGTTAATATGCCAGGCATTGTTACTGCTCTAGGCAATGGAAACACAGGCAAATAAAATGAAATTTCTGCTCTGCCAGGGTTTATATTCTATCACATGAATATGTTTGTGTGACAGGGGAAATGATGAATAAGACTTATAGAATGGAGAAGATGAGAACGTCAGGACAGAGCCTCAGGGTAGAGGAAGGAAGCTTATAGTTGGGAAGCCTAATTTATACAGTGCTTGGGAAAGTCCGGAGAAGGCTAAGTGAAGAAGTAGACCAGGAAAAGGTGTCACAGGAAAGAGAAGAGTCAAGTACAAAGGTCCAGATGTAGGAATATCTTGGCATATCTAAGGAGGAGCAAACAGGGCTATGTGGCCAGGGCAATGACTGACTAGGGTAAAACCTGAAGACGAATTCACAGAGACAGCCGGGGCCAGAAAAGGGAGGCCTAGTTATCCACCATAAGATTTCAGATGTCTTCTAAGAAGTGTGGTGGGAGGTGAACAGACGGTATTAGAGAAGGAAATGATATAATCTAACCTGCATTTTAAAAAGACCATTTGGCTGTTGTATGAAAGGAAAGTAAAACAGGAGAGCAGTTTTGAGGCTACTCCACATCCCAGGCAGGGGAACAAGGTTACTTGGATTCAGTAGTAGGCATGTTAAGAATGTTTTTCAGGCATAAAACCTTACAGAATTTCTCATGGCACCAAGAGTGGTATGAAAAAGAAAGAGGAGCCCAAAATGAATCTGAGGTTTGGAGCCTATGCATGCATGAATGGAGGGGCTGTTTGTGCATTCAATATTTGGAAAGGAGGTTGTTTCGGGAAGAAACTCAAGTGCTCTGCTAGAGACTGTGGGATTCTGCTTTTTTTTATTTTTTCTTTTTTTTGGTTTTTGGTGGTACCGGGGATCAAACCTATAGCCTTACAGATGTGTGACAAGTGCTCTAGCTCAGAGCTATAACCCCACCCTCCAGGAATGTTATGTATGAGATATGATAAGGTATCCAAGAAAGATGCCAAGTGAATAATTAGATATATAAATCTGGAGTTATGAGTAACCAGTGTAGAGATAGGATGTGACATCACAGGACTAAGAGTGAAGCACAGATAAGATGAAGCGCAAGAACTACGCCTCCAGTCACAGCAACATTTGCTGAGTAAGAAATGACCTAGCATAGACTAGAAGGAACAGTCAGTGAAGTGTGAAGAAAATCAGCAGAGTATGCTATGCTATGAGCCAAGTGGAGCTCTTTCAATAATGACAGTGAACAAATGTGTCAATGCTGCTAAGAGCTTCCAGAAGAAGACAACACCATTTGATTTGGCAACGTGGGATCACTGCTGATACTGGCTTGGCAGTTTCAGTGGAGGTGTGCAAATGAACTGGGGGTGGATTCAAGAAGGCAATGGCACTGAGTGTGGTTATGCACACCAGTAATGGCAGACAGTCAAGAGGCTACAAACAAAACAAAACAACATAACTGCACTGGCTTGGAAAAGAGTAAGTAGAAAGAATAAACACAGGTAACTTTTAAAAATGAATTTTGTCTAAAAGGGGAGTAGAGAAATGGAGTGAAGCTAGAGGAGAATGGGGAGTCAAGGCATAGTCAGATGATACTGCACGATGTTAAATATTAAACAAGAATAATTCAAAGGAAGAAAAAACCTGATGATTCAGAAAAGGCAGGTCATGGTTACAGGAACAAAACTTTTAGTGCAAGAAGAGGGGATGAATTAAGACACAAAAAGTCCAGCCATACTCAGAAGAGAAAAGAACAGTGCAGTCAGAGATGCAGGTAAACTGGTATAACTGTTGATAAGATGTACAGATTCTCTTTCTATTGCAGTCAGAAACAAGGCCATTCCTCTTTTGAAGAGAGAAGGTATGAGTTATGTCAACGGGAGGATAAATTCACTAGAGACGTGGGAGAGTCACCATGCAGCATGAAAGATGTTCAGGTATGGCAACAACATTTAAGGGAAATCTATTCATCTATTTGGATGCAGGCATGAAGTGCATGAAAAGGGAGGATTTAACATGAGTTGAGGTTTAGCCAGATGAGTACAGAAGAGTCAATGAGGGAAAAAGGAAGCTAAAAGGCCAATTTTAATATGGAACATAAAGTACAAGTCAAGTAAAGAAAGAGGTAGGGACGTGGTAAGAAGGGTGATTGGAAAAAAGGCAGTAAGAACAATGTACTGTACATTCCAGGGAGGTTAAAATATTGTAATCCAGGTACTAGAGAGAAAGCTAGAAGGACAAGAGGAAGTGAAGCTCCAAAATGGGATAGTTGAAATGGAGATTTTGAAGGTGGTAGTTATCAGTGATGCGTAACTTAAGGATGTCCTCATGGGAATGGGCACCTGAGGTAGGGTGGAACACAAGATCGCTGCAGGAATGCAGTCAGGGAACAGACATACTGAAATTACCAAACTGATAACAAGAGTGGTGACAAGAAAAGACAATGAGCTCTGTGTGTGACAACCACTGTAAGGTGGTAGACGGTGCAGCAAACACTTTGGCTTTAAATGCTCTGGGATTCAATGCAGGATGAAGGGGGAACAAGATCTGGAAGCAGCAACAAGGAAGAATAAAAAAAAAGTTAATTCATACTCTGAATATTTACCACAATTATGAATGCAAACATAAAACAACTGACCTCTAAAAAGTTAAATGAAGGTAAATTTGGGAGAAAAAGAACCAAATGGTTACCTAAATTGGGATGGTATTTCTTTAAAGATGAAAATTATGATTAGGCTATAAATCAATTTAATGGGTCACAATCAGCTTTTAAAAACAATCAGAAAATAAGTTTTTTAGACACAGCAGGAGTAAGAATTATTTTACACTTTTTCTACTTATATAAATGCATATTGGGTGGAAAAGAAAAAAGGCAATATGTGGATGGCAAATAAGGGTTTGAATGTCTTTGATTTAGGATAATTATGAAATGAATCACTTTTAAGACTAACAGCTCCCACAAAACTTCTTTATCTTGACTTCTGGACTGGTGAGGGATGACATTCTCAAATCTCTTATCTGGACTCCAAATTTAAGTTCAATAGTCTCAAAGTGAGTTACAAGAGTGAGTAATCAATCTGCACTGGGCATGGTGGCTATAACTCCTTGCCCAGGACATCATGGTACAGAAACCATCAAATAAGCTCTTCCAAAGTATGACAGGTGTCATGATTGTTATGTAAAGTGCATTAATTGGTAACAGAGTTCACAGATATTCTGTTGCTTTTAACCTTACTATGAAAAATTGCAAACATGAAACTAGAGAAAATAGTAAGCCAAATTTTCTCAACAATTTGTATGAGAATACTGTCAATAACACATACTTACTTCACCATCTTTGGCAAGTTTTCTACCACACCTCATGCTATTTCCCTCTAGTTCTTCTTTATTGATTTCTTGAGGCCTAAAAATATTCATTAAGTAAGTCATGAACATTCAGAGAAAATAGGCAACTTGTAATTGAAAAAACCCTGCAAGTTAAAAACAAACTTTTGCTTCTAGATTTAAAAATAATTTTAGGGGTACAAGGTAACATGAAGTGCCCAAACATGGGGAGATAATAGGGAATAACAACAGTAAATGTAAATAAAACATGTCCTTGATATCCAAGAGCTTGGGGAGTAGAAAATTAAGATGCAAATAGTGACGTGACAACGTGGAAAGAGGAGTAATGTTAGAAGCGTGAAGAAGGCATACATTCATCACCTACAGTGGAGGGGGACTGTCACAGAGAAAATGTTATGTGCATCTGAATGGGAGCTTGGTGGGCGGAGGCGGGAGGTGTATTCTGTACAGGGGGAGGGAACACATGCAGGAGGAACAGTTACTATTCATTTTTTACCTATCAAAAAGGGATTGAATAATAATAGAGTATCAAATGAACAAACAATTTAGGGCAGCTGGAGTGTAAGATGAGCATGAGAAGAGATGAAAATGAAGGCATCTGGGACAAACTGCTAACATGTTTCAACTTTTCCTGTAGGTGACAATTCCCAGACGTGGGTTCTGTTACTATTAAACTTTTTTTATTATGACAAATTGCAAATATACAAAAGTAGAGAAAATGAGCCCATTCTTCTCACTATCTAACCTCAATAATCTTGAATAGCAGTAATCTCCCTAAACTATCATCAAATGTCCTCAGACATATTTAAGCAGGGAAGACAGCTATATTTCTGTTTTAGAAAGACAAGCCTTTTGGCAATGTGGAAGAGAGGGTGGAGGAGAACCTTGGAGGGAAATTCTGCTAGATTATAACTTAACCTGCACATACACTGTCTTCCTCACCTTAGCAGTCCTGTAGTTAGCTGTGAGCTCAGTAACATGGAACATAATAGCTTTTTTTTTTCTTGAACATAATATCAGGGCAACATCATCATCGTCTTCTACTACTACTAGTACTACTACTACTGCTACTACTGCTACTATTTCCTTCTTTTCAGAGTTGGAGACTGAAGCTGGGAGCCTCACACAGGGTGGGAAAGGACTCTTCCAGCAAGCTACACCCCTGGCCTTAATCATATACTCCTGAGGTCAAGAAAGCTAGATATTTCCTTTAGCTCAGTCTCTTAGGTAAGATTAGTCCTTGGTAAGGGTAAAAGTGAGACAAATCTTAAAAAATACACCCCCCAAATTTAAAGCTGAATGTAAAACATGTAGAATGATTTACAAAATGCTATAAATCTGAATTCCATTAACTCATTTTTGCTTTTTTATTCATATTTCTATTTTAACTATTTTACTATATGTGTGCTGGATAAGTATACTGTGAATATATTTGGAAAAAATGGGATTAAACATAAAATAAAAACTAAAACCATGGATAACAATAACTTTATAATCATCATGAATTTACACTTTGGAATACTCACTGTTTAGATATCAATTTATAACTAGCCATTATTTTTGGAATTTCCCTAGTGTATAAATGGATTAAAAGAGATTAGGGGGCTGGAGATTTAGTTCAGTGGTGCCACCGCCTGCCTTGCAAGTGCAAGGTCCTGAGTTCAAGTTCCAGTACCAAAAAAAAAAGAAAAGAAAAAAAAGGAGAGAGATTGGGGGCAGAAAAATTAAACTTCTGAAGGCCTCTTCTATATAATCACAGGTAATTATTCGTACTGCTTATTTCAAGGAGCTAGAACAATGATCAAATAATAAATGTGAAAGTATCTTCTGTGAACTGTAAAAATATTTTTTAAGGATGTCATATGCTTTTGGAAAGGGCATGTTTCATTCATTTTAGACTCAAAGATCTTCAGAGCAGCCTATTACTCAACTTGACAATTCTACAGTATGAAAATTAGCTTTACCTATATGTAAATATTAAAATCATGCTTTATACGTAAAAAGCAAATTATACTACCAGGTGAAACAAAATATATAAATTACACAACTTTTTAACTTACAATTCAAACACTTTATTATACTAATTGACCAGAAAGGTATTTGTAAGACTGTTTTAAAAATATAATAAAAATTGATTACATGATCATTTCTCTACTTTTAATAGGTTGAGGTTTTAATTTAGAACTAATTTTTCTTTCTTTTTTTGGTACTAGGTATCAAACTCAGGACCTTGAGCCTGTGAGGTGGGTGCGGTGCCACTGAGCTAAATCCCTGGCCCAGGAACAGATTTTTTCAATATAATGACTGCATTTAAAAATTCATGGGTTGGTGCACGCCTGTAATCCCAAGCACTAGGAGGCTGAGGCAGGAGGATCTCTGCGAGTTCAAGACCAGCCTGGGGCTACACAGTGAGCTCTAGGGTAGTATGAACTAGACAGTGAGACCCTGTCTCAAAAAACAAAACAAATCCAAAACACAAACAAACAAAATTTATGGCAAGGGCTGGGGATTTAGCTCAGTGGTTCCACTGCCTGCCTCGCAAGCACAAGGTCCTGATTTTGATCCCTGGTACCAAAAAAAAAAATCATGGTAAATTTTCTTCTTTTTTTGGATGACAGATGTAGCTTAGTGGTAAAGTGCTTGCTGACCAGGTGAGAGGCAGCCCTGGGTTTGATCCCCAGAACCAAAAGAAAAAAAATTAGTTACTGATTTAATGAACAATGACGTAATATAATATACTTACCCTACTTCACTATCCTGTTCTGCCCGCAGCATAGCAAGCCACTGCTGTTTATACACAGAAGACAGCCATTCTGAAGTACAAACATTAATTAACAAGAGATACAAATAGGAGAACACTGAGGATTTAAACATTGTAAGTACTTGATAAAATTGTGATCATTCCTTTGTCTTTTTTGGTACCAGCAAATGAACTCAGAGCCTTGCACTTGCCAGGTAGGCACTGTGCCATTAAGCTACATCCCCAGCCCCAAACTGTTATCATTTCTAACTTTAAATTTAAACTAGCAATATAAAAAGCAGGTAGCTTTTATTTTACTAGTATGCTAGAATAACAATGGCTTAATGATCTCTGAAGTGGTAAAGGTCATTTTATCTCAAGTTAGACTTTACTCAGATTACATACATTTTGATTCAACTAGGATTAAAGTCCTTAGTTAAAAGCACATTCTTGAGATTAACAGTTTAATAGTTTAATTTTATTTTGTGAAAATTATTTCTAAAACACTATTTTCAGGTTTATAAAACTTTTACAGAAAACTGAATAATGGATTTTTCCTTTATCAAGTTAACTGAAAATAGCAATTAATTCATCTTTTAGGATATGTTATCTCTAAATTAGTAGGTGAAGATTATACACCCAAGAAATAATTTTGAAAAATCAGACTTGGGATACTCTTATTCAAAGTAAAAGATTTTACATGATGGCACACTCCTGTAATCCCAGCATTCTGGGTAGCTGAGAGAGAAGGACTGTAAGTTTGAGGCCAGCTTGGGCAACTTAGTGATTTAGTGAGATCTTGTCTCAGAATAAAAAAGGGCTAGGTGCTTGCTTTGGCAGCACATATACTAAAAAAGGGCTGGGCATGTAGTTCAGTGCACAGGCCTTGGTTTGATCCCAGTACTACAAAAAATGAAACAAAAAAAGTCAAGAATAAGAAAAACCAAGTAAGTGAGTTTAAAGAGTACTAATAGAAAAGGCAGTTATGACTTTTATCTTTTGGTTTTTTGAGACAGTTTTCACTATGTAGTTCAGGTTGGCCTCAAGCTCACAGCAATCCTCCTGCCTCAGCCTCAGCCTCTCATGCGCTGAGATTACAGGTATAACAGGTGCTATATAAAGTCATTTTTAGCAGGGGATTTAGCTCAGTGGTGCCACTACCTGCCTCACAAGCACAAGGGCCCCTCACAAGCACAAGGTCCAGAGTTCAATCCCTGGTACCAAAATAACAAAATAAGAAAGAGAGAAAGAGAAAAAGAGAAAGAGAGAGGAAGGGAGGGAGAGGGAGGGAGAGACAGGGGGAGGGAGAAAGGGAAGGAGAGTCATTTTAAAAGTCTGATGCAAATTAGTGTACTGGCTAATAAAATGAAAGAATGGATGTGATGGTTCAACACCTGTAATCCCAGCATTCTTAGACGCTAAGGAAAGACAACTGAAAATCTGAGCCTAGCCCGGGCAAATTATCAATTTAGCGAGACCATGTCTCAAAATAAAAAATAAAAAATGGGCAGAGAATGTAGCTCAGTGTGAAGATCCTGGGTTCAATCCTCAATTCTGGAAAAAAAAACAACTAAATAAAATTAAAGAACACTTGCATCACAGAATGCTATTTTAATATTCTAGAGAATAATGAAATATGATATGGGAAAATAGCTGCCACATATAACGTAAAGGCAGAAAATTACCTATGCAGTATAATTCCAGTTGGGCATAAAAATGTATACCTTTTTGGGATTAAGGACAAGTACTTTTCTGTCATATATATTACTGTTATTTATAATCAGAAAAGCATAACTTTAAAACATGAGTTCATCATGTTCTCTTACCTGAAGGTACTAAAGAATCTTGTTCAATAATTCTTGCAGAAGCCAGATCACTAATAATATACTGTAACCTTAAATGCCTAAATACTGACATGAATGGTTTTCCTTGTTCACTTTCAAGGAAGGCCACATCTTCAAAATCTAAAAAAAAGAGCAAATAGCCATTTTCAAATCTATTATTATTGTATTCCTAAATGTTTTTTAAGAATACACACATATAACACTCCACTAGAATACAAATGAGGTAGTTTTAAGATTTTTATAAATCTGATGTGTAAAGGTTAAAAACAGGGAGATTTAGAAATTGGTGCTAATTGGACTAGTGGACTGGGAAATTTAGCTGTATACCCAGAGTCTGGAGCTTATCATGCAACAAGGTAGGAAAGGAAGCTTTGAGAAAAATACATGGACTATTATCTCTAGAGTCCCAATCAGTCCTTGGGAGAAACAATAATTTGGTAGGTTCAGAACATGGTGACAGTTCAAGAGCAATAATTCAGACAATCCTAGCTAAGGCATTTTTCTTATTTAGCCTCAATTTTCTCATTATAAATGAGAAGCTAAACTGGATAATTGCAAGCGTTCTCTCCAGATCTAAAACTCAGACTGTAACTAAGTCAGGACCTGATTCTTTAAATTTTATTAGTACATGTATGTAGTACCCAATGGTTACATTCACTGTAGGAAATTGGTACATGTACTTTGCACATTTCAATTCTTTTTTCCCCTTCCCTCCACCTCTCCTTTTATTTTTCTAGCATCAGATTCATTTATAAGACCTTATAATGCTAGTTATCATATATATACACACTAAAAACCAGACTAATAGGCCAAAGAATATATAAAACATGTAAGACAGTTGTACTAAATCAAAGTACACTTTTAGATTGTCCTTGCTGGATTACAATACTCTTCTCTCTCTCTTTTTTCCTAAGTTCCTGATTCTAACAAATTTCATTTTAAAACAGACAAGTACTCAATAAAAATTTCAGGCATACCCTTTTTCCGCTTAGAAAACCAGACATCTGTTTCTGTCAAAAGCTGTTTTAAAGATCCATTCCAAGAAGGCACAAGTTGAAGGAACATCCACTAGGTTAAAAATAGTAAGAAAAAAATGACAAGACTTCATCACTTAATGTTTCAAATCACTTCTACCTTTAGACATAATACCTGAAAAGTTTTAATTACCATTTAACAAGCAACTGAAAGAAAAATGTAGCACTATTATAAAACACGCTTACAAACTTTAAATTCATCATGGAATTAACCACACAGAGTGCAACAATAAATGTATCAAGAAATCAATCCCTGAAAAGTCTATACAGTCACAAACACACTTTATTGTATTAAAAGGTAAAGCTTTATCCATCCCTGGTACCCCCCGGCCAAAAAAGGTAAAGCTTTAAAATATATTAGTTTTGTTTTGTTTTGTTTTTGGTACCGGGGATCGAACTCGGGTCCTTGCGCTTGAGAGGCAGGCCACCGAACCGCTAAGCTTAAAATATATTAGTATTTTATACTAATTTTGTACACAATGCTCTAAGCCAGAAACAAAAGGATAAAGTCAAAATTTTTTTCCAGTCCTGCCATATGTAACAATGTTTCCTAAATCATAGTTAGATCATATTCAATCTACTTATTAAACTGTGTTCTATTTACTAGTGGGGTTTTCTGCAGTTTTGCATTTCACTGTAAGGATAACAGGCTTTCTGTTTTCCTTAGAGGTTAGCCCTTTAAGGTAGCCTGAGACGACAGGTCCTGTGATTTGAAGGTGAATGTGAGGATGAGACTAAATGACCTGCAGAAGTTTACAAAGACAGTTTTATCACCTGAGAATGCACCATCTTTTTCTTTGGATAATTATTTATTACATCTTGCCTGATCCCTATATTTTGATGGGTCTCAACATTGTCTCAAGAATGTTGTTAATATTTATTCTGTATTGATAAAAGTGTGTCTTGCCATTGAGTAAATACCCCAATTAATATTTTTTTCTCTACCATAGCACTGTCATTTTTTTGTGAAAATGGTTACCTGTTTATTCATTACAATACTGATATATATTTTCAATAAAAGCAAAAACTTTCTTACCTTTAAAAAAAAAGGCAAAATTATGTAGTGGGAAGAATGCAGTAGGAACAGGACTCATAAAAGCAGTCCTCTGCCTCCAGCCTGGCACTTAATAATTATAAATTCTGTTTTTCAAATTAATAAGTTTGTGCATAGCAAAGAAAACAATCAACAGACAGGGAACCAATATCTAGAATGCACAAAAACGAGACCTTCAAAATAAAAAGACCCAATAAAAAATTGGGTAACTGAAAGAAACAGACATTTCTCAGGAGTACAAATGGCATTAAGTACATGAAAATATGTTCAGCATCTCTGGCCATGAGAGAAATGCAAACAGAAACAACACTGAGGTTCTATCTTACTCCAAAAAGAATGACTATCATTAGCCAACTCAAACAGTAACAACAACAACAACAAAAAGCTGATGAGGTTGTAGGGAAAAGCAACACTACCACACTGTTGGTGAGAATGTAAGATTGTACAACCATTATGGAAATCAGTGTGAAGATTCCTGAAAAAACTAAAAATAGAAATTCATTCAACCCGGCTATTCCCCTTTTAGAAAATCCTTAAAAAAGTTAAAGACATATTACAGTGACACACGCATACTTATGTTTAGAGCAGCACAACTCATACATAACAGCTATACTTTGGAAATCATAAATCTTTAAATATTTTGGCAGAGAGTTCTGTAACTTTCCATGGTTTGTCCTAGGATTTTTCTAATTCATGATGCTGGGTAAGTGTGTTCAGACAACCACTGTGTTTTTCACTTTCAATAAATTTGAAATTTGTTTCCAATAAATTATATGAGATATGTGATATTATTATATAATAATGCTGTTTTAGATTATTTCGCCCAAGTGTAGCTAATATAAGTGTCTGGGTCGGTAAGACTAAGCTATAATGTTCAATAGGTTAGACATATTAAGTGCATTTTCAACCATGATGTTTTCAACTTATGGGTTTATTGGGACATAACCCAGTCATAAGTTAAGAAGCACCTGTAACTCCTCTTCCTTTTCTTATATTCATAAACACCCTTTATCACGGGACACCATTAGCAGTTTCCAGTTTTTCACTATTATGAGAAATGCTGGGGCGATACCCTTGTATACATCGTTATTACAATACCTTTTTTAGAGCTGTGTATACATCCATCTCCACTTGCATCACAAATAAGTTAGAGGAACCAATGAGCTGTTTCATGACATTTATACTGGAAAAGATAAAACAGAAGAGTGAGCCTGTCTTCTTGTATGGGTTCAAGAACTCTGAAGACTAAGTACTCTTTTATCAAATGAAAATGTGAAATTAAAAATGACAACAGTTTTTTTTTTTGTCCAAGGCAATGAGTCTTAGTTATTAATATTATGGAGATTCGCAATACAATTCACAAAGTGTGCTGTGAAAGGTCTGTTTTTACACTGATAGGGAAATGATATGCTTTGATTTATTAATCCAGTTACAGAAAGGTCCCAGTAACATAACTTTCAGGATGCACTGTAAGTGGCAGCCTTCTGTGGCCTGTCTTGCATATACCTCTATGTTAACACAACAAACAACCCCCCCAAACAAAACAAAAACCCCACAAAAAAAGATACATGTCAAAATTCACTAAAACAGCTTAATCTTTAAAGTTATCTATGTGCTAGCTTCGGCAGCACATATAATGATCTTTCATCTCTAAGTTTAAAAGAATTAGTCCAAAAAATGTTTTTATTAGTATTAAAGAGAATAAGATCAAGAAATGTGTTTCAGTTTAAATTTCAAGGTAGAAATTTTACCATCAATATTTTCCCCCTCTTCCTATAAGCCATAAAAAGAGCTTCTGTGTTGTTTGTTTAGTTGTGTGTGTGTGTGTGTGTGTGTGTGTGTGTGTGTGTGTGTGTGTGTTCCCAATGCTAGAGACGGAACCCAGAGCTGGCCTTCACACTGAGCTACTTCCTTAGCCCTTTAATTTCTTTTTTTTTAAAATTTGAGACAAGGTCTCACTAAATTGTCCAGGCTGGGCTGGAACTCTTGATCCTCCTGCCACAGCCTCCCAGAGTGCTGGGATTATAGGTATGTGGCATTTCTGAACTTTTAAGATGACTCCCCTGTGGTCAATGTTTTGTTTTTGGTACCAGGGATTGAACTCAGGACCTTTCAAGGCAGGCGGCAGAACTGCTGAGCTAAATCCCTGGCTTTATTTTTTCCCCCAATGCTGGGGATGGAATCTGAGGCCATCCCACTGAGCTAAATCTCCAGCACCTTTTTATTATTTTGAGACAAGGTATCACTAAATTGTTAAGTTGACCATGTCAGCCTTGGACTTGCAATTGTGCCTCAGCCTAGGTTTCTTCTGAAAAAGCTCAATGGGAAAATATGGCTGGGTGTCATGTTGCATGCCTTATCCCAGCACTCTGGAGGCTGAGGCAGGAGAATAACAAGTTTTAACCCAACCTGGACAACTAAGGGTTGAGTCCCAGGTCAGTCTCAACTACATAGTGAGACCCTGTCTCAAAAAAAAAAAACCAAAAAAACTACATACTCCTGATGTTTGTACTCTGAAGTCTTCAAAAGTTCATTTCCACTCTGAATTTCTCAGATCTCAAATATCTTAGTTTCATTATTATGAAAAGCCCCAATAGCAGAAAGCATGACACAATCACCTCTGCGTCAACCTTCATAACCCCGAACAGAGTATCTTCAACCTTTAGATTCTCTAACAGCGCAGCAAAAGTGAGGGAGCACTTGAAACTTAAAAAGTCTTACAACAGCAATACATTTTTCAGTTAAAATTCGTTAATACAAAAGTTACACATTTTATCGTTTACAACAAAGAAATTTATGCTGCACTTCTTCAGTTTATGGATATAGTCACAGTATCTTTCATTAAATTGTATGCTTTTCATGTTCTACAAAAAAAAACTTACATACTTTAACAAACGAAAAATGTTATGTTGGAATAATTAATTAAAAGTTATTTAAAACTCAAATACCTCCCAAGAAAGGCAGAGATTACATTTTTTTTCTAACAGATTGAGTTGGTGTAGCGTGTTCTTAGTTATCAAAAACACTCTTGTAGCTTTGGGATTTTTGAACTGATGAATATTCATGATGTGTAGAAAAGCATGACACACACTGTACAAACTCAATCACAAAATGGCATGTCGTATTATATACATGCAGGACCTACAAGAACACATCCAGCTAAGCTGCTTATGATTGAGAATGACTTTGTTCTTTGCTTCTTGTGTTTTTGTTTCCTGTAATACATATATTAACTTAAAAAATTATTTTTAAAACTCAAAAAAAAAAATTCAAATACCTCAGCTCTTTAAAAAGTTCAACATTCTGATGAGTCATCAAATTGTTTAGCAGCCATTCAAGGCACCTGAAATTACAAAAAGTAATTATTACATTACCTATTATATAGTTTGAATTTATTAATAAAAACATAGCATTAATCTTGCTATGACAAGCTCAAAAATTTTAGCATAGTAATCTGAAATTTAGTATTGCTTTTGTCAGTAGTTATTAAGGGAATAGTCCCTTTATATTAATAAGATCATTTCTAATTAATAAACCATCATTCAAGTTTGTGTTAAATGGTTTTTGAAAGGGCTTATACATATTTTTGTTTGTTTGGGTTTTTTTGAGACAGGGTCTCACTACGTAGTTCAGACTGACCTGGAACTCACTATGTAGCCCAGGCTGGTTTCAAACTAACAGTGATCCTCCAGCCTCAGCCTCCCGAGTGCTGGGATTACAGGCGTGCACCACCACGTCCAGCTGGGCTTACATATTTCTATATTTAAAATCTGAAAATAAATTCACTTCTTAATAGATAAAATATTGCCAGTAGTTACATGGATATAATGCCTGTTTATATCTACTTTCTCTTTTCATTACTGGGTCTTCACATTGAGCTACATCCCAGCCCTTTTTAAAATTTTTATAGAGAAATTTAAAAAATTTTTATACAGAGACAGGGTCTCACTCAATGGTTACATTGCTCATGCTGGGCTAAAACTAGCAACTCTCTCGCCTCAGCCTCCCAGTGCTGAGATTATAGGTGTAAATCACACCTACTCTTATATTTAACCCACCCTTGGTCACTAACAAAAACAACATTTCTGAGGAATGTATTAATTAGTCTAAAAATCAAAAAGGGACTTTATAAATAATAAAATTCTATCCACTATCTTTTTTCTTCTTTCTTATACTATACATTCTTTTATAGATATATATTCTCTTAAGGAATCAAAGCAACCAAATTCTCAGAAGTGGGATGGGAACAAAAATAAGAAAGGATAACTCACTTTTTCTTTACAGAATCTAATCCATAGGTCCCTGCTGATGTGTAATAGCCACATACAGTTTTCACATTAATTGTTTCCTTCATTGTCTCACCACATTGTTGTATTAAACCATCCTGTAAACATAAATAAGCACTGGAAAGGCCCATTTCATTTGGAAAAAATTAGCTCTTGATATGTGCTTTTACATATTAAAAAGGAAGATAGAAAACTGATTAAGTGCAGCAAGCCTAAGGTTTTTTTAATAAATCCAATAAAATATGCGAATAATTCAGCAAGTATTCAATTAAATACTTGTAATTGGGAAATGGACTTTTTTTTTGTGGGGTATGAATATTACTATTCTCTTTATTTGCTATTTTCCCACATCTGGGACCTTTGCAAATTTCTCTGGCAGCATTCCATCTAGTCTTTAAGAACTCTCTACACAATCAGTTAAGTGATGAATTTCACAAAAATATGAATTAGCACTCAATATGAGGTGCCCCTAATCCAAGTATATTATAGTTCTAAACAACTTACATTTTAATCTAAATTGATTATGTAGGTTTCAAATGAATAATGTTTAATGTATGAAAGAATACTGTCACTTTTCATTGTAATTTCTGAAATGTAGTCATCGCACAAGATTATTATTATTAAGTTAAAGTTAGTAAATTATAAAAATAAGGCAGAAAGCAGATGTAGAACATTAAAACTAAAAGGACTCAAGTTAGGGCCGGGGATTTAGCTCAGTGGCACTGCGCCTGCCTTTTAAGTACAAGGTCCTGAGCTTGATCCTCCCCACCCCCCAAGTTAGAAAATAAAGTATATTTATTTGAAATTAAATATTGAAAGATCAAAATATTTTAAAAATCAAACTGATATCAGCCAAGGATATTTAACAAGCTATCAATTAGTAAATTATTCAAATAAATCAGTATGTAAATGTTGATAAAAGGAAAATGCTGATTAAAATAAAACATTGCCTACTTGGTTTTTAAACTTACCTGGCAGTCATTCTAGAGCCCTTCTATTTCTTCTTTAACATTTCCTCTGTCACTGCATCCAGTGAATTATTGTTTCTTAATATCTTAGGTATCTACTCTTTCTTCCCCAAGCCTATTTATACTACCTTAACTTAGACCTTACTTGGACTACTGCAGTAGATTTTCGGCTCTAATCCTGTACTTATCTTTCAATTCTCTGTGCATATGTTGATCCTGAGGTATTCTTTTGATACATAACATTATCTTTCCGCTGATTAAAATCATCAAATGTTACTTACATATAAAGGCTTAAACTTCTTAGCGACATAGAGAGAGTGATGGTAAACCTATGGCACATGTGCCACAGTGGGGTGTACCACGGAGAGCTCTAAAGGTTTACCATCACTGGTACAGAGGAACTTTCATTATCTGTCTTCTGCCTCTCTCTGTCTCTATCTACATATATATATACATACATATATATATATATACACACATACACACACACACAAACACATAATACTTCATTCATATAATATTATCATACATATAACTTTAGATAGCTCTTATTTTACCTTTGGGTTTGTACAGCAACTCTCCCATTCCCCTTTCCCATATATACTATACTGGGAGGTCCTTGAGGAATGGGATTATGTTGATTTTTGAAAAATTCAAAAGTAAAAATTGTACAGATTTAGGAACCACAACTTAATTTACCTTTGGTACTCTAGGCCTAGTTTGACATACTACTTAATACATTTCTGTTGAATGAATAAATCTGTCATTCTAGTAGCAGATTAAAATGCATATATAGTACATACAATGTTATTCATAATTTAAAAGTTTACATAGTAGCACCTGATTTTCTTTTTTTTTTGGTACTGGGGATTGAATTTAGGACCTCAAGCTTGCAAGGCATGCAGTAGAACCACTGAGCTAAATCCCCAGCCCTCTGATTTTTTTTTTGAACTCGTGAACTATATTAGTAATCATAAACCACCTGCTTAATAGTCAATATCAATGATTAATAAAATTTGCAAATGAATTTGAATGCTTTCTACAGTATAGCCATACTAAGCTACATAGAAATAGCTTGCATTCATTTTAAAGACATTATAAACCACCTTCAGTAATACATTAATTTTGGGTAAGCATTTTAAATGATTTATAATAAATGGTATTAATGCATTCCAGTTTTACTTTAAAAGTTCTAAAAGCTAGGGCTGGGGATTTAGCTCAGTGGTGCAGCCGCCTGCCTCCCATGTGCAAGGTCCTGAGTTTGATCCCCAGTACCAAAAAAAAAAAAAAAAAAAAAATCTGAAAAGCTAAGCTTTATTTTTGTGTTTTGAGGAGATATTAACAAAGACATTTCTGCAATTTTTTTTGAATATTGTGATACTTACCAACTGCAACATAGAAGCTGCTGCCAAAATGGCAGTGACTCGACTGGGTTTTATTAAGACATCATCTCGATACAGTGATCCAAAAGCAACTTGCAGTGCTGCAAGCAAAATACACATGTAGACTGAAATATCAGCAATTAATTACACTGAAAGATTACCGCGGAAATAACAATAATTGTTTTCACATACAAAGACATCTGTCTAAATCTGGAATGTATATAAAGGATAAGAGAAATGTCACCATTAAAATAGTAATGATTATTGATTGATGGTGTTAATATAATAACAATGTTGTAAATTTGTTTATTCTGTCAAATCTAATTGCATCCTTCTACATCAAATCTTGGCAGTAGTTAGGATAAGAACTCACACACCCTTGGAAGAAGCTTTATAAGACAGCCCTAAGTAAAACAATCATTAAATCCAAGTATGCAGACTCAATGATAACCCTAATTCTGCCTCTTTTGTGTTTTGCCACTGAGGAACATGGTAAGGGAGTAATAATACAGCTACAGGCCTATCCATGCCACATCTACTTGCAACATCTCTCCCTAACCCTATTCCCTCCTGCCCCTACCCCCAGCTATCTAAACATGTCCATCCTCCTCTGCACTGCCCTCTTAACAATGTCCTTCATGATCTCATGATCTGTAAGCACTCAAGTTTTCTTTTTGTGTAGTGGACACTGGGTACTTCTATTAATGAGGGGAGCAGAAGTACTGAATTAGGAATAAGGGGAGCTACAGTCTAATTGTAGAGTCACAAACTGCTTGAGGATACAAAACAAGTCCCTTAACTCCTATAAGCCTCAGTAATCTAAAATAACATCAGCTATATGACCATTCCTTTACTATTCAGGAAAGATCTATTAATTAAAAAAATTTTAAAGATCACATAACTTTAATAAGTGATACTTTTTATTCCTTCTTACCACCTAAACCATATCCTGGGCAGACATTTACAAAGATAAGTAAATAGACTGATAAAGCCCACATGAGTAAAGAATAGGATGATGAAGAACAGAACTGATAAACTATGGGTGTATACTAATATAAAATTATCACCTTCAGGTGTTAAGTGGAGCTTTCTCCCTAGCCAGAGAGGTTAGATAAAAATATGTATGTACTACCCAAAGTATAAAAAGGTCGTTTTTATGATTTTTTCATAAAAGGAGATAGTACCTTCTATATCAATATTCTGGTCAGGAATCTCCAGTTCAATAATATTCATGCTGGATTCTTTCCAAGAACCACTGAACATACTAGAGAAGTAGCCTGACTTTAAAAAAAAAAAAAGCACCAATGATTATCCAGTACTTATTCTTCCAAGTTATTTTCCCATTTCTAACTCCAAGAAACTATTCTATCAAAACTAATTCACCATAGTATTTCAAGAGAAAAGGAATTGTTAAATATATGTATAGGAGAAAATAAATTAAGACAAATTTATTATTGGGTGTATCAAAATACACACTTAGTTTAGTAATATTTTAATAAAACATAAAGCAAATTCTTATTACTATTCAAGTTGAATTCTCACATTACTATACTATTTGAATCTGGTTAGCTTTTTATTTAAACAATTTCTGAGTATACTATATATAGGTTTTCCTTCTCAATGAAATTCTTTTTCTTTGGTACCAGGGATCGAACTCAGGTCCTTGTGCTTGAGGCAGGCGGCAGAACCACTGAGCTAAATCCCCAGCCCTTTTCTCAATGAAGTTCTAAATTCAAATTTACAAACTGTATTACATATTTAAGTATCTCTTACAAACATATGACAATACACGAAGTGGATACACAATATTGAACTGAGGGAAGGAAAAAGGAACCAAAAGTACTCAAAATGCTACATCCTTACTGTGCCTCTGTAAGGCTTCAGACCAGATTCAACTCAGCACTAAAAGGATATTTCCCAAAGAAATCAGGAGAACCCCAATTTAGTTCTTTCTAATCAGAGATATCCATAGTGGACTGGAATTCCAGGAAAGATACTAGAATAGGTGAAGTCTTTAGTTACTTCCTAGACAGCATCTCTCGTAATTAGAACTATAGTGCTATAGAATGGAACAATCATTAAGAAATTTATTTTTTAAATGTTACTGAATATTTATTACAGTCACCCTTTTGTATATGTAGAGGAATTGTGTCCAGGACTCCCTGCAGATACCAATAAATAAATAAATAAATAAATGTCCATCCAATACATATCCTCTTGCATACTTTGAGTCATTTGCAGATTATTTATAATGCCTAATCAATGTAAATGTTACACAAATCACTGGCTACGCTTCTTAAGGGGATGAGAAAAAAATGTCTGTACATGTTCAGTACTGATGTAATTTTCTTTTATCTGAATATTTTTAATCCATGGTTGGTTCCACCTATGGATATGAACCCATGGATATGGACAGCCAACTTAAATAGAAGGCCTGATGATACAGGGGAAAATAAAAGATATTTTTGTCCTACTAGGACTTATATTGCAGCATGTGGCTTGAACTAAAATCAATTCCATTTCTTTCTTTTTTCTTTTTTTTGGCACCGGGGATCGAACTCCAGTCCCTAAGCTTGTGAGGTAGGTGGGTGAAAAATCAGTTCCATTTTCACAAGAGGTAAAGTGGTTTTTTGTGTTTTTTTTGCTTTGCTTTGTTTTGTCTTTGGTACTGGGGATTGAACTCGGATCCTTACGCTTGAGAGGCAGGAGCGGAACCACGGAGCTAAATCCCTGGCCCTGTTTTTGTTAATTTTTATTTTATTATTATTATCTCTCTGTTTTTTTTTGTGTGTGTGTGTGTGGTACTGAGTACTGAGCCCAGGGGTGTTCTACCACTGAGCTATATTCCCAGCCCTTTTCATTTTTTGTTTAGAGATAAGGTCTTGCTAAAATGTCCAGGCTGGTCTCTAATGTGTGATATGCCTGCCTCAGCCTCCCAAGTAGCTGGGATCATAAGCATGTGCCACTGTGCTCAGTAAGAGGTAGAGTTTTAATAGAGGCATTCTCACCCTTAAGTTAGCAAAACAGAATTTTTTTCCACAAATTTAAAAGATATGGACCATATCTATAGATGAAGACCAACAATCTGATTATGTTCTCTGGACTACATATATTCCTCAAGTCAAAGTGAACTTGTTTAAAAAATTTTTTAAAATGTGATTAAAATAAGAGAGAAAAAATCATTTTCAAATGTTTTTCCTGAAAAATCTTATAATGCCTTAATCATGCAATTATTCTCAAACAATAAAGAGGAAAAAATATAATTTCCAAGGACTAGGACTGTTCACTGTTTTATTCCCAGTTCTTAGAACAATGCCTAGCACACACATGTAGGAAGAGAATAAATGAATAAAATATTTGAACCATTATAGCAACACTTTTATTCTATTTTGAAAGTCTGAATCTCTTACATGGGTAGCAGAAAAATTTTCAGCACAAAAAAATCAAATAGGTATATCAGCTGTGTTAGTCATTATATTTGTGGTCCTTAACTTAAAAGAATTTTTTGGGAGAAAAGGAAAAGTATCAAGAACTGTCCATTCAACTTCAACTATGATGCAACATCTCAGATCAAATTATTCAATGTGAATCATCATCAACTGAGAAATTTAGCAACCTTAACTTTAAGGTTAAAACATTTTCTCCCAGCTTCCCCATTTCATAAATAGAAAGCACCAAAACAAGCACCTTATTCAAGTAATGACAAAGAAGTAATGGTAGGCTAGTATAACAAAAAAGTTTAAAATCTGTTTTCTATCCAAATTAAGTTTTCACTAATAACATTTGTCTTTTTCCAATAAAATAGACTTTTAATCAGATATATGCAAGAATTATTGTGAAAGGCAATGAGAAAGAACACGACTTAAAAGAGTTTTGAGGTTTTTAAAAAGTAATTACCTGTTTAGTCAATAAAAGAATAAAATACTTACTTGGCATAAATATATTTTATGTAAGCTCCACTCTTCTCCTAGAGCACAAATCTTTATGTCACTATTTTCACCATTCAAAAACAATGTTTGATAAATATATTTGGATGTACTCTTTAATTTTTTCCTGTTAAAAGAAATGCAAATGTTACATATATAAAACTGAGTGCTTTTCTGATTTTGCATAAATTACAAAATATTCCTTTTGTTCAGTTTCTATTAGAGGTAGCTTATACACTGTGTAAAAGGGTAGGGATAGATATTCAGATTGGCTCAAGACTAGAGGAATACATAAGATAATAGTGGTGATGATCTCGGGTACTCACAGGAGGGATAACAATGGATAGGTGGGAGTAGCATGAAGGAGATATCTTTATATACCTTTTATACATTTTAAATTTTTGAATTAATTTAATTCAATAAACTAAGATACTTAAGTCAGCATGGTAGTTTTTACTTTTCTTTATTTAGAAACCAGCACTATGGAAAATCTCAGTGTAACTATACATAATAATTATAATGTAAAATTATTATATTATATTATATATAATTATTATAATCTGCAAAACATCACTATTTTTTCATTGTTGGTTTTTTTTTTTTTTTTTTTTTT